TGAAGCGTTGGCCTTGTGCTCCCAAAGCTCACGTTTAGGGAAGATGGACATTTAGTAGATGACAGAGTGTGGGTAAGAGATTAAAGGCTCTGAGAGGTCAGATTATGTCTGGTATGAGTGGGAATGCTTATTTATCCAAGACGTTCCCAGGCCATGGAGCAGTAGAAATGAGGGTAAGAAACAGCATGATTGGAGGAATGGCAGGCCTTTTTGGGTTGGGAGTTATGTGGCAAGAGATAGGATCTTAGAAAACCTTGAGAAAATTGGATATTAGCTCATAAAATTAGACTTCTCTCACGTAAATTTGTGGGGGGTTTTTTTATTTCTGTTTTTAATTCCCAGGGTGTTTTTGTTTTTGTTTTTTTTAGCTGTTTATATATATTTCATGTGACAAAATATTACTAGCCCCAAACTCCATTTGAGCCAACTGTTAGACTGAGCTGCTAAATTTGGAAATGACCCAATTAATAGGTTTTTTTCCGTCCTCCCTTTTCAATATTTTACATAACAGCTAACGGTTCAGAAAGCATTTGAGTGTACCTACTTTTGCACTAGCTCTGAAACCAGAAAATGGGGTATGGATCAAGTATTAAACTATATTATGATGACAGGTGAGAGGATAGTTGATGTTTATGATTGAAAAAAACTTACTAATTTTAATAATTGTTTTATTTAACTTTATATAGTTAACTCTTAGGTCTATGAAGCAACTTAGATCATCAATTTCAACACAGGATAAACAAGGGTCGAGAAAAATTAGTGGCTTGCTTAAGAAGTTCTAGAACCAGAACCCTGGATTCTTTGTTGTTGTTTGCTACTACATCAATTCCAACTGAGACCCTGTAGGACAGAGTAGACCTGCCCCCTAGGGGTTTCTAGGCCACAGTCTTTACAAGAGCTGATTGCCGCGTTTGCCCTGTGAAACCACTGGTGTAAAGGTTAGAACTGCTGACCTGTCACTTAGCAACCAATTGCTTAACCATTGTGCCACTAGGACTCCTTATATAATATCGTTCTGGGCTGTTTCTAGTGGTAGGCTAAGGAAGAAATCATCATTGGCAAATTCAGCATGTTTATGTTGAACTCACTCAAATTGATTTCTAAGCAGATACATTTAATCCTTTCAAAGCCTCAGGTAATGTCTTCCCTTTTGCAAGTTAAAAACACCAATTTCTCTGTTGTTTTGACACGCCCTTCCCCGCTCTAGAAGTCCTACCTTATTTGTATATTCTTATGGAACCTACATTTTGATATGGCACCCAAAAAGTGTAGTAATATTTTAATTGTGTTTCCACCAGTATGAAATGACTATAATTATTATACCTTAAATATCAATACTAATATACATGAAGGGAGCTTAGAAGAGTATGTGGGAAAATTCCATTGTCTTTCAGTTCCATTTTTTACCAACTTTGTCTGCAGTATGCCCTGATCACAAAGACATGCTTAAACAAGTTTTGTTTGGACTAAACCCATGCATGTATGGTTTAGTCCTAACTGGAACTCCTGTAGCAATACTGTTTTACTTACCCTCATATATTAATTATTATTCTAAAGTATAGATGTAGGAAATGTATATGTAAAACTCTCTCTTCTGGAAGCTTTTCTTAGTTCCATGATCTTAATACTGCTTTTCCTATCATTTGTCATTAAAAATCACTGCTTTGTCAGAACATGGTAGGCAATTGGTTTTCAATTGTCATAATTTTGAAATTAACATTTCGTAATATTATCGTATCCGTGGTAGTACAAACTCAGTTTGTTCAAACAAAAATTTGTTTTTCATCTTGACTCATTGAGAGGGGAGTGATGATGTGCTGGTAGACTATAGGAAAACACAAATGCAAAATTGTTAAGAGACTTGTTTTTTAAGAAGCCAGATGTCTCTACTTTCCTCTGCATTTCCATGGTTTTGGAATTCACACCACCAGATCATCTGGGTGTGTTGCAATAGATGACAAGCAGGGTGGCATTTTCACTACCCTGTTTTTTGTTGTTGTTGTTTGTTTAAATGGAACTCTAATCTATGCTACCAGAAATGTCCCTCTGCTTGGGTTGAAGTGACTTGCTCCCCTTCCCTTTTGTTGCAGCCATGTAGGCCTATAGCTATAGTGTATCTTGTAGGGCTCTTCTGAGTGCCAGACTGTTTAGATAGTAATATGGAAGAGAGGGTGTGTGTTTTGTGCACAAGGGACTTCAAAGGTTGATAGAAAAATGAATTTGAAAGATAAGGGAATTTGTCCATGAATGAAACCCCCTTGTACACAATGTGTGTGAGCAAACTTTTACGTTTAGAATATAAAGTAGACAAATTAAGATTTATTCAAATATTAAAGATGTTTTGGTTAGTAGAAAGCATTTAAAATCAAATAGATACACAAATTTGAATTTGAAAAGCGCAGACTTAAAACTCACTACCAACAGGTCAGTTCTGACTTATAGTGATCCTACAGGACAATAGAACTGCCCTTGTGAGGTTCTGAGACTGCAGCTCTTTGCAAGAAGTTTTCTTCCAAGAAGTGGTTGGTAGTTTCAAACTGCTGACCTTACGGTTATCTGCAGCCCAACTCATAACTACTATGCCATTAGGGCTCCTCTGTGTGCGCGCCCCCGCCCCGCCCCCAAAAAAAAAAACCACCACCACCAAAGTGCTATTGAGTCTATGCCAATTCTTAAGGTTCCCATAGGACAAACTAGAACTGCCCGTGTGAGTTTCCAAGACTGTCACTCTATAGATAGTAGAAGTAGGAAATAACATTTGATTCCGGCGTGTACATGTGTGATAGCTTTATTATTTGTCTGTGGGGATTAACTCATTCTGCTGTTGGTGTGTATGTACTTTGCAATGAGAGGGGGTTTTGAGTGGGGAGGGTTGTCACTGAGATGAGCCATTTAGAAAGTACCTTGAAATGTCTTCAATTGAAGTTTTACTTCCCTGTAACAAAATGACAGTGTTAACAGGTTAATCTTTCCCTGGGATTGGAGTATGGGTTTGAAGAGTCAAGGAACTGTTTGCCATATATATGGTCACTGTGCTGGATTGTAAGGGTTTTACATTTATCGTCGGTGTTCATCTCATATGCCTAAAGACGTAGTTTGCCTGGGTTGAGGGTGGTTGTTGAGAAATTGCTTTTTGGAAAGCTAATATGTAATTATGTTTGTGAAATAGAATTGTATGTTCCTGGTGTGTTAGAATTTTAGTGTTTTTACTGTTTTTTGACTAATTTTGAGTTTCTCTTTCAACAGAAATAGGAAAGTCGTTGATTATTCACAGTTTCAGGAATCTGATGATGCTGGTAAGTTTGGTGATTTTCAATTAATTGTGAGTTAGACTCTGGCTAGTAGGAAAATTTCTGGTTTCTTTTGTTTTAAGTCATGCTTTTGAAATTAATTTTCTTTAAAATAATTATGTATGCAAATTATATCAAGATCTATGTCAACCAAAACAAATATTGAACTTTCATGAATTAACTTTTCTTTGGTAAATCAATGAAAATAAATAATGGAATCTTTTTTTCCTCTCACTTGGTTTTAGAGTCCAAAGTTTAAATCCCCATTAATTCTGATAATAGTGCTTGTCACTTAACAGAGTTCCTGCTAGAATCAAAGTAAAGTTGCAGCTCATGCAAGTGGCTGATCAACTTTTTTTGTAATAAAGTAACTAAGCGTAGAGTCTATTGTGTGAAACCACATCATTGCAGAATAAATAGTGTATTTTAAAATCTTAGCTGTGCAAAAAAGTTAGTTGGGGTTGTTTTTCTTATTTTGGGGGGAGGGAGTTCTGATGCATTCTTTTTTTCCCCCCTTTCTTTGAATCAACCTTAACATTATAAAAAGTTTATGTTTTTTAGGAAAACTTGAAAAATGCAGAAAGATACAAGAAGACTAATATATGAACCTACCTCTCAGAAGTAATTCTAACACTTAATAACTACTTGATGTGTGCCAGGGATTATTCTAAATTCTTATATTTAATACTTTTTTAGATATTTAATACTTGTAACAATCCTGTTTCAGTGGGATGTTATTTCTGTTTTACAAGGAAGGAAACGAGCAGAGATAGTGCAATGTCCTTAGTCATTTAACCTTTTTGGTTTTAGCTACTATCCTTTTATCTTTATTTCCTTAGGAAAATAGGAGTTTTTATTCTTGCACAATATAATATTGCAAAATATAATACTTTTCTCATTTTTTAATAAATTCCTATTAATGGTTGTTGGATATTCCACTGTGAAACATATAAGGTATCCAACCATTCAGTAATCGCTAAATATCCAAATTACTTCCATCTTATATGTAATGGGGCTGTAAATATTTTTGTTTAAATATTCATCTTTTAGAGTAGAGTGATTTTCTCTATTTTGGTTGGGCTTATGATATTGGTGGCAATTTCCTCAAGTTCCAGAGTACACTGTATTTCAGAATTTATGCTAAATGTAGTTGACTTCATAGGTCTAATTAAAAATAATATGACAATGTTGAAACATGAAGAGATCTTTGGTAAGTCAAAAGGGTAAGCTGTAAATGATGAGAGGTTTGACGATAGCTAGTACACAGGGTAAACGTGAATCCAATTCCAAAATGTGGAGACTGCTCCAGTCCTCATAGTCCCATTTTTCCACCTTGTTCACTGGTCCTGTAACTACTCTGGACTAGGGTCAGAGCCCCACAAATTGTAAGGACACTGTCCTTCATATTGCCAGATAGCAGACACCAGCAGCAGTTTGGAGAGTCCACATGACACCCCAGCCTTCTGACCAGCTTGCCACAGATTCGGGGCTGGTTTTGCACTGCCCTTTACGGATGCCAGCCACAAGCTCGAGTCTACTTCCCACCCTTACTTTCTGACTTGCTGGCCTCTACTGCTCTTTGAGTGTGCTAAGTCACTGGAGCGACTCAGAAGGGAGTATCCCATACTTAAACCACAGGTTTGTTTCCGTGTAAAGGATTCAAACAAAGAGTTGCATAAGAGGGTTCCCAAAGCACACCTCTCATGTCCCAAGAAGGGATGGTGCCGCTTTACTAAGAGCAGGTGTTCGCATCAACTAGGAAGCTCTTGGGGCCTCAGGATTCAGCACTGAATCAGGCTGCTGGGGCTACTCTTTCCTGGTTTTGCCAGCTCCCTCTTTCCAGCACAGATTCTCAGGTAGGACATGGAAGCTGCCCCATTTACTCCAAGGATGACTTCTCCCAGAGCTAAAAACAAAGATCACTGTAGTTGGGGTAAACGAGATCCTTTTTAAAATAAGCATGTGAGAACTAGAGAGTGGTAACACAAACATGGAAAGAATTGAGGTGGTGAGGACTAGGATTGAGTTTAACATTGTTACTGGGGAAATCCTTCCTTCTCACTATTTGAATAGCATGAAAGATAATTATGCAGTGGTGGTTTTTACATGTAAAATTGCTAATATAAAGGTGATTGAATTTGAAACCTGCTTTGTTAAGATGAAGATTATGGAAGAGATTCGGGTCCTCCAGCTAAGAAAAGTCGAGCATCTCCCCGAGAAGCTAAAAATAAGCGGCGATCTGGAAAGAATTCTCAGGAAGATAGGTAAGGGACATGTACCTTTCTGCTCTTGTTTACACTGCCACTCCCCCCCACCCCCCAGTGGAATCTTAGTGTATTGGGGGGAAGTTGTGTTGTACATTTCATATCATCTCAGGTAGTGGTGCTTCCAGGTCTTTCGGCATCTCCTTTAGGTGCTGGGACTTCTTTGGGCTGGTCATGGGATCCAACGTGATCTACAAGAAGCCTTTGCTGCAACCTTAAGAAAAGTTTTTGCAGTTTGCTAATGTTAGAATGGACAGTGTCATTGTAGTGGTTACAAAAACTAACTTTCCTATTCAGTCACAAATCATTGGCAGAATTACAACTAAAGATTGGAAAACCCCAATTTATCATCTCACAATCAATTCTTGCAGCTTTTCTTTCCCATGGTTTTACAAACAAGTTCAGTCAGATTGTAACTTTGATTAATTTTTCTTCATGAGACTAGGACACAGGAGCTTTTGCCTCTGCTTATAAAGGATTATGCACACATAGTACAGCATAGCTTTTATTGTAGTGTGGCATTCAAGGATTTACATGTGTCTCTAAATGCATTAAGAGAACTACAGAAAATGAAATTGTTATTAGTCATGGTAAGCTTTTACTTAATTGTTTATTTTGCAAAACAACATTTATATAGAAAAGTCACAGGTTTCAGAAGCAGTGATGATAATAGTGTCACCATTAAGAGTTCGCTGTTTTCTAGTATATTGTATATGTATGTTATGATTTATTCCAACAGTGCTTGTAATAGTATTGGGAGTGCTAACCTGTGGAGGTTCTGTGATTAGCAAAGGCTGCTCAGAAAATGGAGGAAATTGGTTTTGAAACTGTCTCTTGAATTTCAGAGTCCTTTTTAGTCATTAGGCTTTCAACTCATACTGAACTGTCAACATTTCAACAAAACGACTAAACTGTCCAAAAAACGAAAATATAACTCTCACTGGTTCTTCTTAAGTATTTACCTTGGAGCCCTAGAATCACTACTATGACAGTAT